CTATTGTTGAAGCCTCACTGCCACGTTTCTTTCATTATGTATTTACGGCCCCCATTTCACTTTAATTTATATGTTGGACCCACTAAGGAGATATTCCTAGATGTGTTCAGCAGAACGATAAAAATCTGTCCCCCTTGATTCAATAAAGTGTTCGGCCTGAAATTCCCTTAAGGTAACCTGGATCGACAAGCACCTGATGAAGAGCTGAGGGCAGAACAGCTGTAGCATTATGAACAGCCAGAGCGTGAATAATGTAAATAGCATTGAACCATACAAAGAAACTAACTCCGAGTTGCTGCGGTTGACGGTTCGTTAACCACAACCATAAAAGGTATTTGCTTTTCCTGTCGAATTAGAAGCGGCCTTATTAATGCTCTCGAGATGAGAAATGACAATGTTAAAACATGGTACAAGCCACGTATACTTTTCATATTAATAGTGCAGTATATTATTTTGGTATTAGCTTCTAGTATCTAATACTGACTAATATTTACTATTTTGGTAACATCGATAATATTTCGGCGCTATCTACTACAACTTTTTCTGAACTTGATTGTTGCATCCAAATAATGCGTATTTCGAAGCTCTAAAATTATCAGGATGTAGCCAACAAAATCTTGTCTACCACACTGACAACACCCAGTTCTCGATAACGACCTAAACTGTCGATATTACTTGAACAAAAAGAGAAAAAAATAAGAACTTCGAACAGTTTATCAACAAATTTGATTCAGACGTATAGCATCTTCGAAAATAAAGAAAGTAAAATTAAAAAGAAAAACCTTGTCGGAAACGGGCGGCCAATGAACTGAACAGTACTAAAAATAAGAACTCGACGCTATCTCGAGACATGTGCAGTGAAGCAAGAACAGTCTATACTTATAGATTAAATAAAGGATTCACTTCAGAATTCCCTGTAGGTTATTCAGATCGACGTACTCCTGACGAAGACCGGAGAGCATAACGGCCGCGACGTCATGATAACAACAACAAAGATGACGAAAATAGTCCGAATATAAAAAGAATAAATAATAAACTTGTTGAGACGAATTCGCGCTACTTAAATATAACTTTATATAAGAAAAGGAAGGTACACAAAGTGTCTTGATTTGCAAATAATCAAACCAATACCAAAGGGGAAAAAAGTATAAAAAAAAAGAAAGAACCAAGAACATGTACGTTAGCCGAAAATAATCGTCTAGAATTCAAGTCCAAAGCCCAAAGAAAAAAATCCCGATGCGAGTAAGCAAAATAACTAAATAAAGTGCTCAACACAGTAAGTAGAGCAGACCTAGTTAAAGCTACCAATGTTTCACCTAAGCGGATCGTCAGGGATATATGTATGTATAAGTTAAACCTAGAGAGCCAGACAAACCTACCAAGGTTTCACCTAAGCGGATCATCAGGGATATATATATGTATAAGTTATTGAATTTTGAAAATTCAACACCATCACTTGATAAGACAGTAGGAGTGTTGAAACAAAATGGCTATTTTTGTAGTGATTTTATAACATATTTATGTTATAATTTTCGAATAAACTGTATTTGCTGTACTCTGTATTGAGCACTCTTTTAAGAATAGTATTTTTTGGTTATTGGAATTTATTCCGTATACGCCAATCTTATACTTGGGTATATATATATATATATATATATATATATATACTTAGTTATATATATGTTGCCTGGCGATTGCTTTTTTTCATGAAACATCCTGTCGCCTCTAAGTGTTGACTTTAAAAGTTCACTTTTATATTTACACACGCTATATCTCTGATATTGAGCACTTTATTCCATAAATATAGTACACCTTAAGATTATATTTTTTACATATATATATATATATATATATATATATATATATATAAGTATCAAGATTGTTACTGTGGTAAAGTATGCAGAGTGAGGCTGCTTGTCAAAGACTGACCATGAACTCTATCGCGCATACACACTAAGTTATAATGTTCTCGCTCACTTCCGTTATTTATACCAGTGCTTGGAAGGAAATTGTGTAGAGTGTGGTCGTCTCATGACAGATCAGAGCTTCTATCAGTGACTATGTATTGTGTAGCAGTTTTTAGCTAAGTAAAACATTTACCAGATTCGACAACCGCCATATTTCTCAAATTTCGCGTTTTGTGGTGTTTTCCTCTTCAAAAATCAAATCCTATTTGAAAGAAACTAGATTTCAAGACTTCGAGGTAATTCCAGGGGATGCAACGAGATAGATTCTCGTTATCCTAAAAATGAATGATATATGTTGTAGTTTTCTTTTTATACTAAAAGTCCCGAAACTTTTGCTCAGACCTTGTATTTAAACGAACATTGTCGATCAAAACATAATATTTGCATTGGTGTTAAATACTTTTGCATATGGGTTATTTTATTTATTGTTAATAAATGTTTCTCAAAACAGTGGTTTTAAATTTTCCTTCTATGTTTTGATCGACAATGTTCGTTTAAATATTTCCTATAAGTTTCGTTGAAATTGATCTGTTATTTTTTGAGATATGTAAGAAAAACCAATGTGTTAAATACTTTTGCTACCCACTGTATATATATATATATATATATATATATATATATATATATATGAATTAGGCAGCATATATTTTAGACGGAATTGATTACAGAGTGTCAAAGAATATGAAAAAAGGAAGACATTATGAAGGAGGGAAAACAATAAAAGAACAGGAATGAAGAAGACAGACGATAAGGATAAAATATTGCATTTAAAGTTTGAAGATCAAACTTGACTGGAAAATAAAATGCCGTAAGAAAATTCCACTGGTAAGAAGTGCGAGAGAAACTTATATATATATATATATATATATATATATATATATATATATATATATATGTATGTATGTATGTATGTATGTATATGAGAGAGAGAGAGAGTAGGGAGCAGGGCCGTGTATGTTTGCTTTCATAAATAACTTTCCTTGAATTATGTAAGTCAAAAAAGAAGGTTTTTTACAAATGTTTTGAACAAAAACAGAGTCTGTTGCAATAGGCGATAAAAGTGAATGTATCTTTCACTTGTTGACGGTCAAATGCGTAGAGAAGCCACTGTCACAAGTTCAGAGGCTATCGCAAATGCTACTTTTCATTACCTTCTATCTGATTTTAGCAAACCCCAACGAACAATTAAGCGCTTTCATTGCTAGAAAGCCGCCTACATAGCCCAACAATGGTCTAAAAAGTGTCCCTCCTATTTTGTTATATTCTGGTTCCGGTGGGTAGGGCTGCACAATTTATGACCATATTTCCTATCTGTTGTCATCTTTTCTTTTCTTTTTTCTTACATTTAACTGGCAAAACGTTCGCTGACACTGGGCACTGATATTAGTGTAGATAAAACGCTTTTGATGGCGACCAGTGTCTGGTTAAACATAATTCTGTAGCCTTTCTTTTAAATATGACGCTACGTGTCTGAAAGAACGTAACGGGGAGAGTCTAGTCTTGATATATAAGTCATTTATTCATACCAAACAGTTTTTCTTGGTGGTTTTTTATCATTTTTCCCAACACATTTTTCGCACTGACTTTTATAATGTGTATTTGTTTAACTTCAAAAATAAATAAATTAACGTGATTCCGAGAAGTATAAGAACTTAACAACATCAATCGTCCATTTTGCAAGCGTGAGAAAGACTTGTATAAACAACTGTCCCGAGCAGTTTTATAGCTGTCTCTCACATACCGCAGCGGAGAATATAAGGAAGACCTTCGTTTGAGGGTTCTACTAGGGTGGGGCACATACCACAGAATTCCAAGAGAATGCGAACGAGGCAGCTGCTTGCTTCCTCCCAAAAAAGAGTTTCAGGAATTCTTCCATAATGAAAACAATGCTGTATAAATGTGTGACTTAAGGAGATAAAATTCGAAATTGATGTGTTGTACTTTTCCTATTATTGCACTAGTCTCGAAACTTTTTTTTATCAGACTTCATATATATATATATATATATATATATATATATATATATATATATCCTATATATATATATATATATATATATATATATATATATATAACTGATAACTGACATCCATCAAAACATGGCACGTGGAACTAGAACAGTCTACCCCAAGGTTCAAAGGGTTCAGTTCGAAATTCCAACCACCTGAAGAAGGCCGGAGCGTACAACAGCCGAAACGTTGTGACAAATATGGCGACAAAGATGAGGACAATAGTCCGACTAATGTAAATACTGTATATATATATATATATATATATATATATATATATATATATAGGCTCCTGAAAAATTAATTTCAGTTGAGCTCTCTGGGGAAGAGGTGTGAGTTTGTAAACAGTGACTATTACGGCTGTTATAGCGAGACTCTTCGGCAAAATCGAATTGAGTCACTGTCGGTCACTGTGTGTGTTTATCTAAAAATAAATACGCTAAAATTCACCTTCATCCCCGACGGCTTAGTGGTAGAATCTCCGACTAACACCAATTCAGCCGGATTTCGATCCTAGCTAGAGGCAACCGGATGTCTAGCCACACTGAAGAGCTGCGAAGCAGCCTGTCTGTGGATGACTTTATATATATATATATATGATTGAAAAATTTACAAAACTGAGTTGCCCTCCTCATAAGTATGCATATAATTATCATTCAAGAAGTTTAATACTGAACACTTTATTAGGATAAATTCTTTACACTATTTATATATTATATCTTTGTTTTTATTGTTGTTATCACAATGTTTCGGTCGTAGAGGAAGTTCAGAGGTCAAAATGGCCGAAACGTTGTGATAACAATAACAACAATGAGGACAATCGTCTGAATATAAATAGTGTAATGATAAAACTTCAACCGAGAAATTCAGACAAAAATTAGAATAAATTCTGTTCAATTTTATATATGTTAAATTATATAATTTTACATATCATAATTACTATATAACTATATTTTTATTTGATTTTATCATATATATATAGATAGATAGACAGATATTGTATAAATTATATATATTGTATAAATTAAATAAGCGCGCACACACACACATAGATAGATAGATAGATAGATAGATAGATAGATAGATAGTCACTCGTATTCGAGGATACCCGCCTACTAGGTCTAGCAGACGCCTGGTCTGTGGTTTATAATGCAACTATACTGCGCAAACCTTAGTTACAGTTTATGGGAAAGAGCGTGTTATCTAACGTGATCAACAATTTGAACAAGGCCGCATATTCAAGCCCTCGGCCACGATGACTTGTGACTTCATGCTAGCACAGCTTTCGACGGCCCCCAAGGGTTCCGTCTATATATATATATATATATATATAGAGAGAGAGAGAGAGAGAGACAAATATCACAAACTGGAAACTGTTTTTGTGACACGTTTCATCTGTTAGGATTTTATCGAACTGGACTTTGTTGACGTTGCCACGTCTACACATGCGCACGAAACAAGTTAGTTTCAAAATTTTTTGAAAGAATATTTTTGACAGTATTTTTTTTTCAATCTCGCCAAAGTCATCTGTATTTTTTTTCTTTTTCTTTCCATCATCTTTGTCCCTGACTATACCACACAGTAACAATATAAAATCTACCAAGAATGGTGATATATGGCAATATATTGTAAGAGCCTGGACGTAAATTTATCGTGGTTGAACAAGCGATCAAGGTACTTTTCAAACATTTTCGTCTCAGTAGATTATTTTCTCTTTTAATCAAAGTACCATTCCCTATGTCAAAATTGTGGTCTGTTTTGTTACGGTGAACAAACATTGCGTTTTATGTGTTGTTATTTAAAATATCCCTTTTGTATTCATGTAGTCTCTTGTATAAACTTCTTGAGGTTTCTCAAATGTATTCATTCTGGCAATTCCTGTATTTGATAGAGTAAATTCCTCCTTCAAGTTTTTGCTGGCTTTGTTTTTTATTAATTCTTTGTGAATTTTCGGTAGTCCGTAGAAATTGCTCATTTTTGAGATGAAGTTTATTCGGAATTCCTTTTTCTTTTTTGTTAATATTCTTATTATATGTTGTAATAAGAGAAGTTTTCGATGTTTTTCTTCACTGGCACTCGATTCAAAAAATATGTGTAAATGTATATTTGAGTTTGTATATATATATATATATATATATATATATATTATAAATTAATTGATTTAAAATATGCTTTTTTTCGCTACACAGTTCTAACGATGTTTCAAAAATGGAAGCTGAACGCTCCGAATTTAATTTTGTAATTAAATTAAAGACATTAGTTCCAGTTCATCCTCAAGCGAATTTTATATTTTAATATTTTAAATTAATTAATCTATAATATTAATGCTCTGTAAATTTACATTGAGCACTATTTTGTAAAAATAAAAATATCTATAAGAACACCGGATTATATATCTTATTGTTATTTCTTTTTATGTATATATATATATATATATATATATATATATATATATATATATATATATATATATAGCTTTGGGTGTTTCTTGTTTTCGGGAGAAAAATAAGATCATATGGAAGTCACCAACTTCTTGTGGGTGTTGGATACATCGGTGTGTTTCTGGAGAGAAAAACACATGTCTCCTGGAATACCCACAGCAAAAACGAGAAAGAAACGCAACGTCGAACAAATTCTAGCTTATGTCTCAACATACAAGAACAACCCAGAACTATTTACAGAAATTACAAGAAATCTAGACCTAGTTTCTCTTGGGAAAAACACATGTTTCTTGGAATACCCAAAACAAGAATGGCGGACTCGGTATGTGGGTCTACGTGAATAAATGCAAAGAAACAACAAGAACTAATACATGTACAAACAAATGATAATGTATTAACAAGAAAGATATACACGTGGCAAAGACAATGATGTGTGTAACAAAAGAATGGGAAAACCTTTTGGTCCAAAAGATGTGAAGTGAGTGAAAGTGCATACGTACGTGTTGTGTGTGTGTACGTGATTTGTTCATGCGTTTTCCAATGGGAAACGTGGTTTCCCGTAAGAGATTTACATATTGACGTTTAAGCGAAAAAAGTAAGAAGAGAGAAAAATATCGTAGAGTATTTATAGTACCAGAGAGCATCCCCTAGACGCTCTCCGGCACTATAAATTTCTTGAAACCACTATAGCTTTCTAGAAACCACTAGGTTTAGTGGTTTCAAGAAAGTAACTAAGAGAAGTTAACTCTACGGATTTTTCAACACATTTGTTGTGTATGTTGGCTTGGGAAAGTAGTAATTCCTTCAGGAAAAGTGAGATTAACATAGATTGATATTTTATATTCAATCGCGGCACTCTCGGGGATTTTCCTTCTGAGTAAATTACTTTTTCTTTTGATAAGTGTGGCATTTTGCGATCAAAATTGTAGGTGGGTTTATTTCTGTATATGACTAGTACATTTGTTAAATTGTTATTTATGCGTTCATAAACATTTTTTTTCTGGATGTTTCCCCAATATATTGTGAAGAACAGTCTAGGATATTTATTTTATGTATGTCTGCGTCTGAACTATTATTGATATAGGTGTTTTTAGATCTGATTATATCCATGATGGTTTTGAAAGTGGTTGTGACTGTTTGGATGTTGTTTAAAAGGGATAATGTATTTTGAATAGTGGATTTTATGAAATTCGTAGAATTTATGTATCTGCTTTTGTTTAATTTATTATTGTGGATAGTGTAGTTATTTTTATTGCGGTCGAATATATTTTGTACCTTTCTCTTTGCGTTGTGGATGAAGTGATAGGGATATCGGAAGATTTTGAATGTGTTTTCTATGCGTGTTTCTTCTTTGGGTAGGTATTGGGGGATGCAAATTCTTAGCGCTCTTAAGTAGAAACCTATAATTATACCAGATTTAATTTTATAAGAGTGGTTTGAGCAGAAGTTGACTTGGTCGTTTTTGTTGGTAGATTTTCTGTAAACGTCGATAAGATTATTTTTTGGCAGCGAGATTTTTCACTAAGGGAATTTCAAAGGAATTAAGAGGCACTTGATTCCTCAGCTTCCTGAAAATAATTAGAGGACCAATGAACAATTGTTCTGGACGAGTAGCGTGAGAAGGGGGTGTTCTTTGTTCTTGGAGAATAGATGTTCTCCATGAATACAGATGGAAAACCGTCTGACAGTTGAAGAGGAACCAGTGAGAGAGAGAGACGGCCAGCAGTTGTTAGCTTCCAAAACCAACGCCACACAACCCATTGTCCTTCCACGTTTGTTCATCCGTCTAACGTTGCTCTTCGCTGATGCATGCAGGCATACTAACCAAGCTTGTAGCGAATAGAATTTAGTAATAAGTTCATTGTTGAGTTTTAAACAGAGTCCATTGGCTCGTTCCAGAGAAGAAAGACAGACTTACCCTTTCAGCTTCGATGTCTAAAAATAATACCACGGCCTGTACGAATTCCGATTCGGCGGGTACACAACACCGGCGGGGGCTGAGATTATCAACTAGTCTGCTAGTGTGACCGGCGGTCTGGGAATAAGAAGAAGTGGAAGAGTCAGAAGAGGGAGAAAGGTCCTGTAATCGGCCGGATTCCGAGTAGAGACCTGGCCGTGTTATGTTTGACGCAGCCGTCGTGGAAGCCTCTGTGTTACAAGCTAATATGGGCTTCGAATGAATGTTCTTCCCTTCGTCAGCGTAATTAAGCCGTGCTTTTGCCGTTAAGTCCTTCGTGACTGGACGGTCCTACAAGCACGCTGGGCTATACGATGGTTTCCCCTATATAAGATGGACGTATGTTCTAAACACCGTCGAGGATCCCATTCACTTTTTTAAAGACGCTCACGAACCAAAGCCTGTAGGCGTCAAGTAATCGTTTCTATTAAAATAAGAGATATCTACCCAAATACAAATATAACGTTTGTAGTAATGAGAAATATATGTATGTATGTGCGTATACAGACACACGCATACAGACACACACACACACATATACACACACACACATATATATATATATATATATATAGAGAGAGAGAGAGAGAGATGGGGGTAGATCAATGGCGTAAGTGTTGTGGGGCTCTCCCCTTTTTACATAAGATGGACTCGTCCAAAGTATACTTATACTGACAGAGAGAATACCTGCTGTTGAGATACGTGGAGATACGTTGAGATACGTGGAGATACCTTTAGATACGTTGAGACAGGTTGAGAGGTACGGAGACAGACACAGCATGTTCTCAGAGAGTTATACAAGAGTCCAGAGAGAGAGATGATTACGGCTTTATTTACAGAGACTTGTACATATACTTTCTACTAACCCGCATTCCTGGACTACTAATCTTCACTTCAAGTCTGTATTCTTACGTTTAATACACTTATTTTTCTATCTCAATTACTGGCATTGTTTATTTATTTGTGCGGGATTCCATTCCCGGAATCCACAACAGTAAGTATTTTCAAATTAAATAATTTTACATATTTTCTGCATAACAAAACTAAAGACTAAATATTTGTAATAAATACACACTAAAAAAAGGCAATTAGTAAATCATAAATACGAAAGACTATAGCGAGTTATATAATTATAAACACACCTCACTTAACGACATACCTGTTTAACGACCCCGGACTTACGACCAACTATAAAATCGCATAAATTAAAAAAAAAAAAAAATAAGGATCTAATCAGTCGGTATTGTACGTCGTACAATAAAGTTTACTTTGCTTTTGTTTTTATTTTCGCTTTATTCAAAATCAATAAAATAAAATTAACAAGCAAAATGAAATATGAATAAAAAATTGACTTCTACTGTATTTAAAATATATACAAACTGAGTGTAGAACTGATTTTAGAATTTATTTATTTATTTATTACGTTTACCGTTTTCCCTGTTTCGAAGTACATTTTCTTGCATAAAAAAAGCAAAACAAAATGTTTACATGCGAATATGAGATGGCATAAATAAGCGGGAAGAAAAAAACAAAAGAAAATACTTCGATTCCTCACTTAACGACGTATCTGTTTAACGACTCCGGACTTACAACCAGCTATAAAATCTCATAAAATAAAATTTAAATTTAAAATCCAGCCTGTATTTTACGCATACGAAAAATTAGCTGTGTTTGTTTTCCCTTCCTTTAAAATGGGTCAAAATAAATAGAAATAAATAAATACAGAGCTAAAATAAATTTAAAAAATCACTTCTACTGTATTTTCAATACCTGCAAACCGAATACAGAGCTGATCTTCGAATTTTCTATTACGTTTACTGTTCAGTACACTACTGTACTGTATAAACATTTAGAAATAAATTAAACATGTTAAAATGATGCAAAAGTAACATTAATGCTGTTATTACAAACCCATTATGCGCGTAGTATGTATGAAATAGCGGTCAGGTACAATTTCTCACTTAACTATCAACTCGTTTAGTGACCAGGTCGTTGGAACCGAATTCGGTCTTTAAGTGAGGAATGGCTGTAAATTGTTCTGCGTTTTGTTTACATCGTTAAATAACATAAACTCGGTTAAATTTGATTTTGTAGGCATTTTCACCTGTTATGACAACCAAGCAAACTATTTTTACGGACCCGTTTTAGTGATCTCCGCTGCATTCTCATTACAATGGCCTTGTGCCAAACCAGAATTGGTAAATATCTGAAATTATTTTATTGGAATCACACATTTCTTCTCTTAGATGTTTAATATCTTTTCTTGCTGCCATTTTAACTATCATCAGAATATAACAATTCGCGAACCGTCTAGGCCAAACGAGGTGTATAGTGATGGCAATTTTCAATGTCAGATGCAATCAAATTTTCACTGAAGACCACCCACTAGCAGACGATAAGTATGGCGTCGGTCCATGGTCAATTCAGGCTGGTAACAAATCTTGTCTGGTTGCATACGCCGCTCCCTTGTATGTCACGCCCAAAATGGCGACGAATGTCTTTTCGATCGCGTCCTAAAATTGAGCAAGGCGGGAAATTTATTACCTTCTTGGCTCGGGTAAAGATTGGGTTGAACAGAAAGTATCTGGGAATGTAAAACGAATGGAAAGGAAAAAGACGCTGTGAAGAAATCGTGCTGAAGAAGCCTGAAAAGACGTGATAGTCTTTCAAAAAAAAATCGTAAGTTTTTTTTTGGGGGGTGGGGGTAGTTTTTGAGGCAATGAAGAGTTTCTAAACAGGGATTTTTTAAACGTTATCGATTTTCATTTTTGTTTTTTGGTTGTTTTTTATTTTTTGGGTTTTTTAGGACATTAATTTTTGCGTTTTAACTCTTGTTGACAACGTTTTGGCGGTGGAGTAAATTATAGTCTGTTAATAGTTTTGCTATATAACAAGAGTTACGGTGGAATAATGGATAGCGACTCGAGTTCGAATTCCAGTCGAATCCATTACATTCACTTACGTGCTAATACCCTTGGGAAAGGTATGAATACTCTTCTCCTCTCTCTAGCAGGACAGATCGGGTTCTATAGCCTTGGATAGCAACTGGTCTACCGGGGAAAAATCGGACTCGTCAGTCATGTATCGAAAGATACATGATCGCCTAAGCATGTATCACGTATGTCACATAGCTGACTGATATAACAATAAATAAAATCTATATCAACATGTAAATCCGCGAATGGGGTACTTCGACGTGATGTAATGGTTAGCAAGCCTGTCTTGCTAGATCAATGACGATTAAGTAGTGAGTTCGATCCTCACTATGTGCCTCATATTTTCGGCCTTGTGCCAAAACTCAGCTACGCTTAGTAAATCACTATAAAGCTACGTTTATATATATATATAAATATACTAGCAGCATGGCCCGGCGTTGCCTGTGCTTGATTCAAAAATCGTACGACTCATACAGCAATCGCTATCACTTGACTTAAAATATTTTTGCCCTTCCTTGCCTTTAAAGGAGTGTCCTTTGCCGTGCTGATGTTGCTACATGCCTTACTATCTTGCCTATCTCACACTGCGAATTTTTTCTAAGCTCTATACTAAACATTAAATCTGTTACGAAAAAAGAACTAAACAAAATGAACACAAAACGATCAGCTTTAAAAAAAAGGACTCGTAACTGGAAAAACCGAATGAAAAAAGAATGTTAACAACAAATACTTTTTCACACCCAACACAGTTCTGCGGAATCAGAATCAACGTTGAGTTTAAGCAAGCGAATGAGCCAATTGGAGTAAAGTGCCATGCAGATTTAAATTTTTGTCACTTGTCACGAATGCAGCTATCGATTTTTTTGCATGCTAGCATGCTAGTTAACATTCGTGTCAGTCAGCCGTTGGCTCTCACGCTGGCCAACAGAATCTTCCTGCCTATTCGTGGCAGCCAGCTATAGGCTCTCACTCTGGCCAGTACAAAATGGCCGCAAACTACATGAAAACTGCCGTAGAAGCATGAAAAAATCGATTATTTTGACTATCGATGGAAGTTGGGAAATGCAAAGTCGGTGTTGGCCTTTCCTCTAACTTGGAGCATGTGCATGTAAATTTTGGTGCAAATCCGTCGGAAATTGCGGGCGTGCATTCGTTACACACACACACATTCTGCCTTATATATATATATATATATATATATATATATATATATATATATATATAAAATCACGACCCCGTAAATATCCATACCCTTACAAAATTTGATAACGGGTGCGTTACGTTCGCTTACGCACAAATAGCCTTGGGGAAGTTATGAATCCATCTCTTCTCCCCTTCTCTTTAGTCTAGGTCCTATAGCCTTGGTTGACAACAAGTCTACCGCGGAAATTTACGGTAGCATAATACGGGCAATATTTTGCCAAGTCATTCAGGAACAGAAAGAAGACACGATCGCCGAAGCGTGCATCGCGCAGGGTACCTGATAAAATAAGGACCCTTCATCAAATCTCATAGACTGGCGCTACACAATCGCAAACAAAGAACTTTACCAACAGAAGGCGCGTTCAATTGAAGACTTTCAACAGCAGCAACAACTAAAATAGATAGCGTATTTAAATCGAAGAGAGAATAAAGACAATGAAAAACCTGACGTTCCTGAATACTTCAAGCATTTATGGTTAAGAAGGAAGCCGCCATCAGTGTTAGAACGCGTGATAATGGTTATTTTTCTGCAAAACTGTTTTAAAAGAAAGAGAATTAATAAATTTCAGCAGATATTAACCCTGTTTGGTCAATGGATGCCGAATGTTTCCTTATAAAGAAACGTTAATCTCAACATTAATCTCATACTATTTAGATCGAGACAACGAACTCCACTATCGAACAAGTATTCTTCTTCTTTACAAATAGCGAGTCCTGTTTTCTGGCCAATATCGCTGATTGAATCTCAAATTATTTTTTTTTTTTTTATTTCCTTTGATTTCTGGCGTGTACACATTTCTTTCCGGATCCCGCCCAGGGACCTAAGGTTAGAAATGGCATTATGACACTTTCCACTGACCAAAAAAAATTTTTACATAGATAAAACCCTTCGTAAAGTGTGGGCTGTGATTGTGAGAACAATTTTTTGTATCTCTTTGAGGCATGGACTTCCCTTCAATTAGTCTACTGGGATCTTTTCCAATCAGTCCTAGGGCTCCAACTACAACAGGGATTGTTGATGTTCCCATATGCCACATTTCTGAGATTTCTATTTCAAGGTCCTTGTATTTTGACAGCTTTTTGAATATCCTCAAAGATACATTGCAGTCTGCAGGGATTGACATATAAATAAGGAGGCACTTTTTTTGTTTGTGGTCTTTAATAACAATGTCTGGGAGGTTGGTTTGATTGTTCTGTCAGTGTGTATTGTGTGGTTCCATAGAATTGTAACAGGTCCTATCTCCGTAACCGGGTTTGGGCGGTGTTCATATCAGTTATTATTATTATTATTATTATTATTTTATTTCCTTTGATTCAGGGTGGGTACACATTTCTTTCTGAGTCCCGCCCAGAGACCTAAGGTTAGAAATGGCATCATGACATTTTTCCACTGACCAATTAAAAAACAATCAAAACACACACACATATTTTACATAGATAAAGCCCTTCGTAAGGTGTAGGCTGTACTCGTGAGAACAATTTTTTTGTATTTCTTTAAGACGTGGGTTTACAGGAATCCCTTCAATGAGTCTATTGGAATCTTTTCCAACCAGTCCAAGAGCTTCAACTAGAACAGGGATTGTTGATGTTCCCATATGTCACATTTTTGAGATTTCATTATTATTATTATTATTATTAACTATTACTATTACGAGAGTAAATCAGAAAGTAAAGGCAATTTTAAAATTACGCGGTAAAAAACAATGAGGTGCTGACGAACGACAACACGCGTGCGCATAGGATGACGAATACCTAGACTCGCTCAGCATTCAATTGTCGAGTCGGGCAACGGGGTCAGACGTATGGATGCTCGACTCATCGATTGCACGATCGTGGAACAACGCACCGTAGCGCGATTTCTATGTGCAGAGGTGTGGGTGAAAGCTGCATAGATCCATCGCCGGGTATTGTTACAGTATGGAGCACGCACCATGAATCAACGTAAGTTGTATGAATGGGTGAGGCGCTTTAAAGCGGTAAGGATGAGCTTAACGGGCGAATCAACATCGCGCACGGGAGAACACATCAGGAGGATGGATGCCTTAGCCAGGGAAGGCCGACGAATCACGACGAAGCGCAAGTGGACGGAAATCATTGGCAGCAGTTATGGATCTGCACAAGCCATAGTGCATGATGAATTGGGGTACTGTAATATGTGTGACCATTAGGTGTCTGAACAAGCGAGAGGTGCAGACGTGGCTTGGTCTGCAACCGAAAAGATTCTTTCCGGAAGGGGAAAAGAAGCCCCAATTGAACGATCCCTTAACTGCATATCCTCGTGCAGGGGAGGGGGGACGATATCGAAAAGTGACATATGTATTTGTTCTTCATCAGGGGAAATAAAAGCGTTGTATGTGATGTTTATCTACTTTTTATTTATCTCCATACTAATTCTCTTCCTGACTTGGCTTCGCGAACGAAGATTTATGAGGTGGGATGTCCACGCCGACTGCAGGCACGCTGATGGCCGACCAGGCCGATACGGGACAGGCAAGTCTGACCGCAGCGTCTGCAATTAAAGGTCTGGTCTGGTATAGCTGCTGAGGCTTTCCAGTCTTTCCCACTAGGACGAGATGTGACACAAGGTCTATTTTTAGGTGGGGACCCGAGCGCGTACGCCCTGGACAGGAACAAAAACCCCCTCATCCCCCGCAACCGTCAGTTGCGTTGGCCTCGGTGCAGGCACTGATCCCTCCCTCTGCTGTAATGGGAGGGTGCGGCCTTGGGCAACTGTGCGGCCTTGGGCACCTCTTCAGTATTATTTTCTTCAGTTGCTCCTCTGTCCTTTGACAGAGAATAGCCTCTGAGCGTACTCTGTCCAAAGACAGAGACGCAACTGAGAGATGATAAGGAGACGTGAAATTACTCAAAAAGAGTAAGGTACGCACGGCCACTGGCGTTGGTCAATGTGGCAGGTACCCTATCACAGTGGCCAGTGGAGAGGACGCTATACAGGGCTATCTTGGGTAGGCGATGGTCCCCCATTCTGGAGACGTGCCCTGCCCAGCGTAGATGTGACTTCAGCAAGATGGCTTCAATGATGGTGATTTTCGCCTGTTCGAGGACCTCATACTAATACAACGATAAAAATGACGGATCGGCATTAAAACAATTATTACTACAAGAATATAATAACTATAACATGATATTTTACACATGTCACGCCAAATTGTATTTTTCGTTTTAGTCCTAAAGTTTTGGGGTTGGAGTAATGTAAAACGAAAATATTTCATAAAATTTAATTTATACCTACTGATGATAAAACAATAAAAAATGATAAAAATTAATCTGAAAATGTAATCACATCCTTAACTATATATAATCCCACCACCCAAAATCCGTCGCTACATTATTTATCTTCCACTAATTCCCTTTGGAAAATTTATCCCCTCAGCAATTAGTCTTCTCGCTCCCAGCCCCGCAACAAAATACTGGGCGCTCGAAAATCAATGACAATAAACCTCGTGCACGAATGTTCTACGAGTGCTTAACTGGCTGCATTTATA